TGATGCCAACTTATTTTAAGGTGGTAGCAACTACATTGAACAAATGTCTTGCTAATGTCGCTCGTCCGGAATAATAATCGCCGACCGTGGTCCTACCAACTCTCCACCCCTTTGCCGCCTTGGCCAGTACTTATTCCGGGGAGTTCTCATTTTATCCTGTCAGGACACTATTAATGAGCAAAAGAGGAGCTGGTCCATGTGGCTCCTCATTGGCAGCTGAATTTTTGTCACAGAACGGCTTGATGGGGGCCTTCTTCTGGTCCTCATCGATCACTGCTGCAGCCTCCTGTGGAAACCTGTAGATCTATGTAAAGCTATACAGTAGCAGACCTTCGTTCACATTTGACAAAAGTCTACAGGCGATATCAAGATGAGACGTGTAATCTACAAGAACTAGCCAACAAAACTAGCAAAAGGGCAAAATGCTCCCCTCCTTGCTTCCCTAAGCTGAACAGTGGCGAATTTCTTTGTGATAATGTTGATCTTTGCCTACCACCATTAGACTCGCGCGAGAATTTCAAGTGAAAAGGAGATGCTTATGAAAAGAATCTTTGCAGATGAAAAGCCTCGAACGGTCTCAAGAGCTCAGCGAATGCGTGTCAATCCAGCTCCACCACATCATGGCAACCCTATTTGTATTGAGCCCTTGGTTACTGGCGACTGTGCTGCGGCGCACTTGAGGTTTGTGAGCTCGCTTTTTTGCTTCAAAACGAATAACAATTGTCATACTGGTTTTAGTTTTCGTGCCCATGAATGTTACTTTTACCATGCCTCCACAGTAGATGAAAAAGCCAGGATAACCGAGGGAATTGGCAAGACCTTCCCTTGTCTAGTGACCTTGGATGAGTTCCTGGAAAATGGTAAACCGGACACGGACCATGTCCGGCTAACCACATTCTGTCCGCGATCCTTCAAGACCACGTCGTTCGTTGGAGAATCCTCAGCGAGGGGGGAGGGTCGTATTCGCTTTGACAGAAATTACTGCTACTATACATAGTGGTTTTTTGCTTATAGCTGAGTTTTCTTCAAATAGTCTGCCGATAATAAATCGTAATCGTAATCATAACCCCCCCCCTGGTTAAAGGCTCCACCAAGGTTCTATACAACTGCTATACTATCTCTGAGAGTTTAGAACCGTAGTTGGTTGCTTACTACCTCCCCCCTCTGCTCGACCAACTGTGAACTTCGTGGAAAAACTAGGAAATTTTCGGGAAATTCCGGAAGAACTGGAGAAAGTGGTAGGAATAGGGAAAGTCTAGGAAAGGAGTTGGTAGGATAGGGACAGGGAGTCTCATCAGAGGAGGGAATCAGAGGTCGTATTTTTCGAAAGCTTTTCCTAGCGACACGTGCCCTGATCCCACTTCTTGATGGCGATAGTCTGGGAGGCATGTTATGCTATGATACCCTACGGAAGCACCGAAGAATTCGGGATCACGAAAAGTCAACCATCCCTCCCAGAAGGCTAGAAAGTAAATACGATCCCCCTCTCCCAACAACGAGCAAGTACAACCCCCCCCCTCTACCACGTCCATGAAGCGAGAAACATCAACTATCAAAATAAATTTTTCTCAGTTCAAATACGACCCCCCCCCTGGTGGGGATTCCCCAACAACGATGTGCCCTATTACCAAAGACCTTGGGAAAGGCGGCTTCCGATTTTGAAAGC